TAAATCTGGGCTGTAGGATAGACGCAGCGATTTTGTGAAGCCACAGTTTGCAATAATAGCACGAACATATCGATCTTTGTGGATCCTGCAACTGTCGTGTGGCAGTGCCGTTTTTGTTAGCCAGCCACCCCCCAAACAAACACAGGAAAAGAACCAGTAGTTAACATTCCCGTACATATAAAACATTTAGTTGCACAAAAAAGAAGAGCAAGGCGTATATGGCAAAGAAGTCGTAATCCGTTAGATAAAAACGAATATAATAGATTAACCCGACACCTAAAAACAGTCCTGCAGGATACCCGAAATGCCACATTCGAAGTATATCTCAGCAGTCTGTCAAAAGAGGACCATACCATCTGGAAGGCCACCAAAACATTCAAACGACCGATACAATACACTCCACCCCTAAGGAAGGAAGATGGAAGTTGGGCAAAAACTGACCAGGAAAAAGCAACAACCTTCGCAAAACACCTATCGAAAGTTTTTAGTGCACCTGAACTTAACAATAACAACGACGACGACCAGATTAAGGACTTCTTGGACATCTCCTGCCCTATGATGCTTCCAATCAAACCCTTCTCTCCAAAAGAAGTAAAACAAGAGATCTCGAAGTGTAATAACCATAAAGCTCCTGGCTTTGATTTAATCATCGGATACACTTTAAAGCAACTACCCAGAAAAGCACTAGTTTTGCTAACCACAATTTATAATAGCGTTTTAAGATTAACATACTACCCGATCGCATGGAAGTTCGCACAAATAATAATGATTAATAAACCAAATAAACCTCCAAATGCAGTTTCTTCGTACCGCCCAATAAGCCTACTGCCGATCATGTCCAAAACCTTAGAAAGGTTACTGCTGAAAAGAATCTCTGAAGACACTGAACTAAACATAGTAATTCCAACGCACCAATTTGGCTTTACTCAACGGTACAACAATGCCACAGAATCGTCAAAAACATACACACAAGCCTAGAAGAGAAAAAATTATGTACAACTGCCTTCCTGGACGTTCAGCAAGCCTTCGACCGAGAGTGGCATGAGGGTCTCCTATATAAACTTAAAACGCTCCTTCCCACACCTCACTACCTGATTCTGAAATCATATCTCATTGACCGATTCTTTCAAGTAAGATTCAACACCGATACCTCAAACTATTACGCTATAAAATCTGGCGTTCCTCAAGGAAGCGTCCTAGGCCCCCTTCTCTATTTAATTTTCACGGCCGACATCCCAACCACTAACTCCACTACAATTGCCACATTCGCCGACGATACCGCCATAATATCAATAAGTGATAACCCGCAAATAGCATCTGACAATCTGCAAGCACACCTCAACCTCATTCAAGATTGGATGAACAGATGGAAAGTCACAGTTAATCACACAAAATCAACTCAAGTCACGTTCACTAATCGAAATATCGTATGTCCCACTGTCACACTAAATAACATACAATTACCAGTGAACACCCAAGTGAAATACTTAGGGCTAACACTCGATCAAAAGCTTACATGGAAAGCCCACATCACAGTAAAGAAAACACAAATAAACCTAAAAATTCGTCAAATGGGCTGGCTAATAGGACGCAAATCAAAACTCTCCACAGAAAATAAAATACTACTATATAAGTGTATAATAAAGCCAATATGGACGTATGGAGTTCAACTCTGGGGCTGTGCTAAACCATCCAATACACAAATAATACAAAGAATCCAATCGAAGATACTTAGAATGATATTCAATGCACCATGGTACATTAGTAATAAGACCCTGCATGACGACTCTGGTATTCCGCCTATTGGAGAAGAAATCACCAGACTAACAAGAAAATACCTAAATCAGCTCCCAGAACATCCCAATGAGGAAGCAAGACAACTTTACACTCAGCCCGACATCAGAAGAAGACTAAAAAAACAGTGGCCTACGGATATGCTAAATCAGTGATCGGTTATTATACACGGTTAGTCCAATCAGAGACCTATTATCTTATAGGAGAGCTCTCACTGGAGAACGTCTCCCTCAAATGTAGCTCGACGATCACATTTACTTATAGCTGTAACTAGCAGGTTGTAAATTAGCTATTAAAAAAAAAAAATAAGTTCGGTGGCTTTGCTTCTGTAAACTTCATCATTAAACGAAGTCCCGTTTTGCCATGTATTCGCAGGTGGTGAAGTTCGAATTTGATAACTTGCCAATTTGTAGCGTAAATTTTTACCGTTCCAATTGCGAAATCAGAAACTCAATTTTTACCATACGACGGAATGCGAGGGTCTCATTTATATCACTTTTATCTCTCTCTCAGAAGCGTGACCGAAAAAATGGGTAACGACATAGAGTAAATAACGTGGTAACGATAGTTTGTCTCCTACTACGAAAACATCAATTTTATAAAGAGGAGACAAACAGGTCTCAGATTTCACTCATATTTTTGATCTTCAAACAAAAAATTACACAATACAATAATGTTGGCACAGTAATTGGCATGCAACCATCATAAATCAAATACAGTAGGTAACAGACAACTGGAAATCATTAAATATTTCTGACAGATGTTGAAAGCTCGTTCTGCGGAACGTTTACCGCAGGAAGTGTCACACCTGTACGTAAAGTGAATGCCAAGGAGCATAATTTGTCACAACTGACATCTAAATGACCACATTGAAAAGTGAAAACTTGTTCGAAAACATTTGTAAATTTACACCATGTACCTACCTACCTACATTGAGATATATTCGCATTTTATTAATCTAGAAATTTAAGTAGAAACGTAGCAAAATGCAATTATAGTGGGGACATTAAACATTCAATCACGCACATTTCACAAATTCCGTTCGGCGTTTAAAAAATGCTCTATGCCCAAATGTCCAAATAAAGGTACTGCTTGTTGATTATGTTTTCCTGTTGGTTTTCCAATATTTTCAACTAAAACTACCAAATCAATGTGGTGGTTTCGTACGTCGACGGTTGCGCGCGATATTATGTTAAAACGCCCTTTAGGCAACGATTTCCGATAGCCATGATGGCCCAAAAATATTACCCCATGCTGTATGCTACAATCCTGTTCCTTTCCAATATCTTCAACTGAATAGCCGATGTAACATTGGAAATATTTTAAATTATGCCGATATCGTAAATGATTTCCAATACTTTCCAATTGCTTTGGTGGTTCGACGTTTCATTACCGTTCAATTTCGAGGCGCGATTTCCGCTTAAGGGTTGCGTTTACATGTAACTGTAGGGCTGAATTTACCTACCGTTTGGTCATGCTGTCCTGATACTGCATTACATGATACGATGCCACGCCTTTGAGCTTAATTTCTTAATTCCTAGGCACGTAAAGCTCAATCGCCCTTTACTTTTCAATCTCAATCTATCCTTGACAAATAGATATAGCTTACAATAAGTAAGTGTTATAAGAGATGCTTGTTATTTTAAATGTATTGGCGATTCAGAAATTACATGGGGGGGGGGGTATTATATTCGTAAAATACCTACGGAGCGAAGCAATAGCACATAGATGCTTCAGCAAAAAAACAGTGTGGAAAATTCTGACTCTTCTTAAAGAAGTTGCTCAGCTGAGTAATTATGCGAGTAGTCAATTTGTAAATAGAGGCATTTCACTGGCACTAAATTTAAAGCTATCAGAATATGCGACAATTTTAAAAGAAAATAGGAGCAGTGATCACCATGTCGATCCTTGTTGATTGTATCACCAACGAAGTCTTCAGGATAAGATCATTACAATTCAACAACCTTTACTAGAGATGTGCTAATCCTAATGCTGACTTGAAAACGTACTTGTAAGTACCTACATTGAATCAAATTAGTCTATTACGACGATTTAATCCATACATATGGCGTTTCGAGCTCGTAAAGTCATCTATTAGTTCACTTTTTATTATAAATACCAATTTCGTTCGTAGAAACCGTCTTAATTTTTCCTCATTACGCATAATTACAACTGGTCTTGGTAATGAACTAATGATCATGACAACTTTAGATTAGAGCAGCTGAGAACAGATGCAGATGATTTTACATTTACTAGGCCGCATCCCAGGTTCTCAATTTAATAAAAATGTGACGTTTATCGTTCACTTAATTTGCATAGTCTCAAATTGCGTTGGTACAGAGGAGCAGGTGTGGAGGCGTTCCTTGTACAATCAGTTAAAGTACAACCAACCTGGTTAATAATGGGGTGCTGATTTCGTTTATTGTCAATTCATTTTTGTTTAGAAACAGTAACACCTATAATCTATAATCCTCTAAAATCCGTATGTTCTCTATCTTTCGGCGTATGATTTCCTGTGACGAGAATCTCCTCGAAAGCTCCCACGCCAACACAAGCGTTAACTCCGGAAAGCTTTACATAATCCGGATCAGTCGCCCCCTAAAAGCGCTAAAGCACCCCGACGCTTTATATCAACTCACCCTCGCTTTTAGACAATGTTACTTCTACGTTATCATGAGTGCCTGCTAAAGGGGACGCCATTTACGGGAAAGCTTCCAACGGTTTTCAATTTCCGTCACCTGTTGCGGGGTTTTCATTTGTACACGTAGCTTTCAATCGATCCATTTGTATCTGGTGATTATTTGCGCATATATCGACCTGTTCTTTCGTTTGTCTATTTAAAATGTGGGAAACAAACCCCCATTCATATATCAACCCACGCTTTTTTTACAGAACTCTAAGCTAAGACTGGGAAATGAGTAATTTGTACTTGCAAGATTTTGAACTAAACAAGTTTTATTTTACAAAATTCATCAATTTTTGATTTTTTTCCTTCGAATTATCTGATTTATTGCGAAGGAATCCAGTGTCGACCTATAGTGATACTGATAATAGTATTATCTTAATTGATAAATAAGAAAAATATTTCAACCGCTTGATTTGTTTATCCACACAAATTCTTAATATGCTATAGAAAATAGGTCAACCACACGAATTTGTAAGCCACATCCTGCAACTGTCTAAGATTTATATAAATATTGAAATCTGATGATATCACAGACGTATTGTAGTTTCAACGTAAGTGAAAATGTCTCGTTTACCAAGTGCCCGCCAGTTGCAAAACTATTTCAAAGAGAATGGGGTAAGAGATGATTTTGGTCTATATTATTTTGTACGCTTTATTATGGATTTGAATTAATCGAATTAAGCAAACCTATTAAGTATCTGCATTTGAGAAAGTAACACAGAAGAGCATACTAAATCTAATATTTTATATAGAATTAAATTCGGGACACTACTAGGGATTAATAGGGCAGATAGAACACGATGAAATGCCAAATATATTTTAATATGTAATGTTTACTTGCGCCATATTTTAGTCATAACAGGCTATTTCTTTTAATTTTGGAGGAAACAATCTTTCTATATAACTTCTTCGACGGTTTTTGAACGGCTATGTGACATAAAAATAAAAACATTTATTTATGTATAGAGCAACCAACGTAATAGAGCATCAATTTTTATTGTGTTTTGTGTTGACCGAGGTGTTGACACATTCACGTTTGCTTCCTTGATGATTCTGTTAAACCAACCTAATAATTATTATAAATGTTACAATGGCTGCATAGTTTTGTTTCGTTCAACCTTCTGCAAAACTGTTATAGGTTTGTAATCACTAACTGCCCCATTTTTTTTAAACAGTCACTTAACTACCAATTTTCGAATACCAGCTGTTGTTAGGGCATATGTATACAAGGTGTTCATTTTATTTTGTCCACTCTTGAAAACTGTAAGAGCTACGAGGTCGGTTGAATTAGGAAACAATTTCTATTTTAATGTGCACGAAAATTTTTTTCAACCAGTGGATCACAAACTGTGGATACCAACTTTGTTATTATAAATGGAATTTCTCTTATTTCCTGATTCGACAGAATCGGGCCTATAACCTTAGAAAATATCTATGTAATGATACTCCTCTTTCAGGATATTTCTACTGATTATTCAGTATTCACACAACAATAATAATTCATTAATAGCAACTGACAGTTGTAAACAACTTAAATAGTGCTATTGGTTTTGGTTACAGCACTCTAAAATATGTATCCCTATTCAACTGATTTCGTCCATGGCACACTTGTTTTAGCTATAATGAAATAAAACTAAACATCTTTGTTCATAAAAATTGTTATCTAAGGCTATACAAATTTATATCACGGAATTAAGAATAAAATTCTCTATCGAATAACGTAATAAAGGAAATACAGTTTCATTTAAAATAACAAAGTGGGCACCCACAGTTTGTGAACTACTGGTTCAAAACAATTTTTTTCGTGCTTATTAAAATAGTCCCTCGTACTGTTGAGTTTTTGATGATATGCGCTTAATTTTGAGCTTCTGTGGGAATAACTGCGTTTTGCTGTTCCACTAGGCAGGCAATATTCCGGTCTTGAAGTTGTACTCGTATTTGGTCAGTGTCCGTGAAGTTGTATTGTTGACTTGAAAGGAATTGATTTGTAAGCGTACCATGTATGCTCATTTTGCTCCAAGTTTGTGGTGCTAATTTGAAATTAATGAATTATTTGAGTTTCTGAGTGAGTATTGCATTGAGGTTAGCTATATTGCGATCACCGTTTTTTTGACGTTATATTTTCATCAAATCAACTTTGGAATAAAATTTTCCCGTGTGTATGTATGCGCGTACGGATTTTGTTAAAATTTTGGATATGGATATTTAGAAACGAAAAATAACGCTGCAACGACATCAAACTTTTTTTTAAATAGCAACCTAAATTTGTTTATTAAGTTATTCGAAAGATCTTATTTTTTTGTGTACAACCATTAATTCTTTATTCAATGGTTTCAGATTTATTATTCAATGGTACAACCTACAAAAATTGTGTCGGGGTTTATTACAAAAAAAAAACTGAGGAAAAAATGTCAAAGATATTTTGATATTGTTGACATTTTGGCAGTGTATAAAGGATGTAAAAATGTCAAAACCTTTTTTTAAGTATATGAGTTTTTAGCACCGTGACGCCATACAACTGTTTTTTTCAATTAGTAACACACATTTTTCATTAACAGACGAAGTTAGCGAGTGGTTACCTATTCAAATACGAGCACTACCGGGAGTTACGTTGCTTGACTGTAGACAATAAATGAATAATTAGTAATAAACATAAACAAAAGGAAAAAAAGCGCGTGGGCTCCAGGTATTTACGAGAGAACGTATAATAAAATAATTGTCGACTATTGCGAACTAATTAGAATTATTAATTTAATAGGGGGTAAACTTTGTTTTTGTCCGAGTATAATGTGGAACAGAACGAAAATAAAGAGCGACTTATAACCATCTTTACTGTGTTACCGGTTATACAGGATAGCATTCTTGCCTAGAAAAGATATCAGTTTCAGGGATGATTTAGTTAACTTGCATCTGCATACACGAGACGAATTAGGGTGTAGCCGAGGGTGCAGCGGTAATTTCTTTTGTGAAGGTCCCATTTATCTTGATACACTCGATTATTGCGGAAACTAACAAGGATATCGAAAAATGATTGATAAATGATTTTTAATACTTTTTTCAAATAGAAACCTATACTTTTTATTAAATATTCATCTTTTACGTCGGAAAATAACAAACTTTATTGGAAAACGTTTTTTCCCTTAATACTTACCTACCATTTTTTTGAAGACACTCTTCCAAAAGTATTATTTTTTGTTTTGAGCTAAGAGGCACATTTTTTACGGAAAAACACGTTTTCAAATACCAGGAATATTTTTTATTTATTTATTTATTTTATTATGCTCATTTTCCACACAAAATCTATCACTTTTTCCATTACGGTTTCCGCATGGTTTTGTCCATATGGTACCAACACATCCACTACTTTGTTTTTTTTTCCAACCCTACTATTTCTATCTTCTAGTAGATACTAGACAACTTCTCCTTCTATTTTCAGCCAAATTATTTAATTTTTTTTACTATTTCTTGTCCTGATTTTAGACCGTATGTTGCTATAATTGCTGTCGGTTCGCCCTTTTTTGATTGTATTTCTACATTGAGCTTTAATAAAGTCTAAGGGTGTTTAATATCCGAATCTGGAACAACCCTTAAGAAGCGTTACCAGCTTTATGGGTCACTCAATTCTCTTAAGGTTTGCAAAAAAGGCTTCCGAAGCTTCTAAATTACTTTATAGCGTCTTAAAGATCCTCGCAAATCCAGCCAAATTATAAATAAAGTTAATTTTAAGTTATCTGACATTTGGAATATGCCTATATAAGTGCTAACGTATAGTTATACACAAAAGTCATTTTTTGACACGAGTAAAAGAGAAACATTTCGAAAAAAATTACTTAGTACATGGAGTATCGCAGGTCATACATACATATTTAATCAAAATGTATTGTAAAAAAGACACTTCGGTTCCAAATCGTTAATACTTAAAATCTTCCATGCCTATCAATCAAATCTGTGAAACAATACAAGCGAACAGAAGAACAGCATTATTCAGTTATATCATTGAATAATATCATGAAGGTGAAGGGTGGTCGTTGGAACACTGGATGTCTTAAAAACAGCATTTTTTTAAAAGAAGCTTTTTATATTATTCAAAATTATAAACAAGTTTGCTACTAATCTACGCACTTTAAATTTGGGATCAGAGGCATACTTCTGCATGGTCAAGGGGGGCACACTTTTTTTTAATGGAAACTATATAGTTTTCATTACATATTATTAAATATCACACTTGTTTCGATATAGCAGCATAATAGTATATTGAAAGACAAGTGTTACAATGCGACCATTTGTAATACGACTATCTTGTGGCACGAGTGGCGTAGCGAAGCGGAGCCACGAGTGTCCACAAGTTAGGAGTATTACAATAAAGCATTGTAACACGTGTTTTTCATACTATTTTTTCTATTTCGGGGCTTTAATTTAATTAAAAAGTAATTATGAAAAACTACAGGAAACTTTAGAATCAATATGTCTTAAGTTGGCAACACCATTTACGTTGACAAATTTTAAGTTGGCAGCGTAGATAAACACAACACTGACATTTGGAAACTTTAAATTCCGTGAATGTGTAATTTTTTACTCGTAGATAAATTTATTTATGGTGGATGTGTAAACTGCTGATTTGGAATGTATTAAGTTCTTCGTGTACCAAAAATCAAGGAAAACACATAAATTTTACGTAATTTGATTTCACATCTGATAATTTGACGTTGACGTCTTGGGGAACTGCCAACTTAGAGATGAAAAGTTACCAAAAACAATGTTACAATGGAACTCATTGAAACACTGTTTTTGCCGAAAACAGTTGCACAAAATTCTCATTGTAACACCGAAATAGAAAAAAAACATTATCTATCAAATCTAAGAGAATGTGTTAACTAATTTTATAATTTTTTTCACTACTAGCGTCTGATGACATGATTATTAACCTTTTTTCCACTTGTAAAGTAGGCTTTCTCGGCATTTGTTCAAAGTGGTTAATAATGTGGACATTATTAACTAGTAGTCAATAATGAGAACTGTCACGCTGTCACTTTTAGAAAACACAACCCGAAATTTCGCTCAATGAACGTTTAGACAAGTTCTCTAAAACGAATAATTGCCACCATTCGCAATTTCCAGAGAAATTACATACCTAAAATTATCACATTTTGAAAAAATTCGAACGAAATTACTCTTTGAAAAATCTCAATGACAGAACAAAATACGGCCTATTTGACTTGTACTTCCACGTACTTGATTGACATGTTAAATTAATAAACAAAAATTCTGTCCAACCGTTAACTCTCTTATCAATATAATATGTTAATTTAGAGGATTTCAAGTGCTAGTAGTGAAAAAAATAGTATATATACCACGGTAGAGAAGTCTCTTATTGCCTTCGCACCTTACACCCCTCGGCGCAAGCGCCTCGAGATGTAATCTTGGTGCTCAGGCAATAATAGTGGACTTCTCTACCTTGATATATAATGTACTATTACTAGTTTGTTCATGTTTTTTTATGTTGTCATATTAAAAAAAAATTCAAAGTATATCGTCACGCAAGTGAGCCAGTATAGTCCAGTAAAATTTAGCTCCAAGCAGTCTACACTGGATGTTGTCACTTCACTAGACGAAACCAAGATGTAAAAAAATCCGCTGAATTCGAAAATCATAGTCCTCCTGGCCGGAAACTCCCGAAACATATTGTTATAAACAAAAGAAGAAACAATGAGAAAATGGCGTTTTGTTTCGCATTTGCCTTCAATTCAATTCAATTCAATTATCTATTGTCCTGAGGGAAAAAATGAAAAGAAATGAATTTGTTTAGAATCGAATTTTCTATAAGATAGCCTTAACGGTGGTTTTGAGGTTCTTATATTAATCGTACCCAATAAAAAAACATTGAAAAATAAACTCTATTTGCTGAATATATGTTTACCAAGCGAGCAAATGACTGGTGGGATTATTGCAGTGGGCATTTAGCTCTAAAACTCTTTGAAAGAGTCTTGAAGGCTCTTCAAAATTCGAATATTAAATATACCTACTCTTAAAAACTATTAAATCACAGATATACGTAACGTATATCTATAAATGCTCTAGCTCTTGAGGTCTTTTATGGACGCCCAAAAGTTCTTAAAAAAGTTTTTAAAGGCATTTTAATGAGTGTTGGGGGCTTTTTAGGATGAATATGTGAATGCTCTTAAATGCACTTAAAGATTTTACAAATTCCTGCAGAAGAATCTTCAAAGGTCTTGTAAACTTTCTGAAAGACTAATAAATCCTTTTAAATCTACTTAAAGGTTCTTAAAAGCACAATTGCTTAGAGATTGGCTTGATCCAAGTGCCAAAACCTAAACCTAAACGGGGTACGGGCAGTGGTCATAATGGTGCACCTAATAGTGTTGGAAAATGCATTAAGAAATGTGTATTGTATTGTCTTTTTTCAAATATGTTGTGATTCGCGAAATTTGGAATTCTGAAGATTATGAAATACTGACTCAAGACTCGATTTTTCGAATTAAAAAGATCTTAATTTGTTAAAATCAAATCATGTGTAAAATTTTAATTTAATTTCAATTTCCATATTATCTAGTTTCCTAGATTTTAAAGTTCCACAGTTAGTAGAACTATTGCAGCCACTTGCTCTGTCAATCTGTCTCAGTTCTCAAGATGCGTTATGTCTAAATCGTACAGTCGTGTTCACCAAACGTATCTTTATTGTAGATCCATTTCGGTGGACCAGGAGACATTTCTATTATTTTAATATTAATAATACTTGCATACGGAAAACTACTAATCATGTTAAATCCCGTTACAGGAGGAAAAAAGTCCTGCCACCAACAATGCCGGTATACCATTGGCCTACAAAGATGCATCGTTGACTGTCGGACCTAAGGGATCTATTCTTTTACAAGACACCGACTATATCGACGAAATTGCTCATTTTGATAGGGAAAGAATTCCAGAAAGAGTAGTGCATGCTAAAGGAGCCGGCGCCCGTGGTTTTTTCGAAGTTACGCACGACATCACAAAATATACGTCTGCTTGCGTATTTTCCGCAATCGGTCAAAAGACGCCGGTTGCTGTGCGTTTTTCTTCCGTTATAGGCGAATCTGGATCAGCGGATACCGTCAGAGATCCAAGAGGATTTGCGATAAAGTTTAATACAACTGATGGAATTTGGGATTTGGTTGGGAACAATACACCCATTTTCTTCGTTCGCGACCCTATCCTATTTCCAAATTTTATTCACAGTTTCAAACGCAATCCTGTAACACACTTAACCGATTACGATTCATTCTGGGATTTTTTAAGCCTTCGACCCGAAACGCTACATCAAGTGTTGATCTTGTTCTCGGACAGAGGATTACCAGATGGGCATACCCATATGCACGGATACGGATCGCATACATTCTCGTTTATTAATTCGAAACGTGAAGTATTTTTTTGCAAATTTCACTTTAAAACCAAGCAAGGAATAAAGAATATCGATCCGGATACCGCGGCACGACTTGCCGGAACCGATCCTGACTACTCCATTCGCGATTTGTATAATCGTATAGCAAACAAGAATTATCCTGAGTGGACGCTTTACGTACAAATCATGCCAGCGGCGGAAGCAAGGACATGCCCCTATGATCCGTTTGATGTTACAAAAGTATGGTTTCAGGAAGATTACCCTCTACAACAGGTGGGAAGATTAGTGCTGGATAAGAATCCAGACAATTACTTTGCAGAAATAGAACAAATTGGATTTAGTCCTTCCCATATCATACCCGGAATTGGTATTTCGCCCGATCGAATGCTTCAAGGAAGACTTTTCTCATACTCCGATACACAACGTTATCGTCTTGGCACAAATCACTTGCAATTACCAATTAACTCATCCTTTAAAGTGCAAAATTTCAGTAGGGATGGCCCACAAACTATCAACAACCAAGGCGGTGCCCCTAATTATCATCCAAACAGTTTCGGTGGACCAAACTCTAGCAAGCGTGCCAAAGATTTACTTATACATTTTGAGGAGAACGGCATCACGGATAGATACGATGCTAGAGACAACGATAACTATTCGCAACCAAGAATATTTTATCAAAGAGTTTTATCTGCCGATGAGAGATCTAGGTTGATTCAAAATATAGTAGACCATCTATCCAACGCTAATCCCACTATAAGAGAAAGAGCAGTTAAGCAGTTCGCTTTGGTGGATGCAGATTTTGGAAACAAAATCAAGAGCGGTTTGCCTGTATAACTCTTCAATAGTTTGCAACACTATTATTCGATGTAACTTTCAATGTAAAATATAAATTTACATTCAACAGTTGTAGTTTGCTATGTAAAAATAACTCAGTCATAATAAAAGTGCTGAAAATGCGACGCTTTTGATACGATACCTACACATCCATTTTTGATTTTTAAAAATGTACCAATTAGCCTCAGTGCAGGATTTAGGTATTTTGCAACTCTAGGTCAGAAGTGGTCGGAGGTGCCTTTCCATTGAATCATAAGCAGAGTTGGACTTTGTCAAGTATACAGTGACCCAGTAGATCTACTGACCCAGGGACCCGGTGGCCCAGTTTAAATCGTTGATCCAGCTTAAGTTTGACCCAATTCATTACCTAGGAGTCAACTTCAGTCCAAGGGAAGCAATAAGAAACAATTAGGTCATGACTAATATCAAACAGAATGGCAATAGAGATAGTTTTTCTCCAGCCCCACACGAATACACAATAAAGTATATGGACACATTAGGGATTCATTACGTGAAAGCATCACAGTAACTGAAGTAACCTTATAAATAGCAATGTACACTGTACAGTGATGGTTAAAAGTAATGTCCACGAATAACTTAAAAGGGTCCAGTACATGGAACCGTTTAACGTCACTATCTCAACGTATTCGTTGACATTTCTTCGGACCGTGACTGTACATCGACTAATCAAATGTTTGTAAGATGGAAGTAGTCAATTAAAGTATTTAAAGAAAGCGACTATTTTGGATTAAGCCAACCATCAAAAGTAATACAGCAAAGCAAATTTGTTACGGTTAAATACCGCTACTTAGAAAAAATGACAGATTTTAACTTATCCACGTCCATCGTCCATACCGTATCCTCGAAAAGGAACATGTTCCAGTAATCAAGAATAAAGTAGAAACAAATTAAATGTGTGTACACCTGTAAGCAAATGGTAAGCCCTAAAGCAAAGAAATGAAGGAGGACACAATACAATTCGAGACAGGGAAAGTTTTTTACGTCAGTGTTAAAGCAAAGATCACAGATATAGCACGTGTCAAGCAACCGAGTATTATTTTCAGCAAACTAACATTCACTGTCATTTATTTCATAGTCTGTACACTTGTACCAAGGTCACAGACTCAAACTGGGTTATTCGATCAAATTAGGTTACTGGGATACTTGGTCAAATTGGGTCACTGGCCCCAACTGAGCAACCAGTTTAACTCCATGACCCAGCCTAACACTGACTACAAATCATTCCAGCAATTGACAGATCAACTTAAGTAAGCTGAATTAATTAAAGACGACGTAGTGGTGACCTTAAAAAACCTCTTGGTCTTTGAATATATTTGCATAACAACTGTGTTGCAGTTTCAAAAATTACATGTTCTTATAAAATTGTATTTTTAAAATACAAACAATTAAAATAACATCCTGGACATGCCTTGGATCATTGGATAATGGATTTGCATGTGTATTAAAGAGTTCACCCGTAAAACCAATGACAATTTTCTTTTTAACGAAGAAGCGAAGAAAGTTTGGTAATCTGAGGTTCTAATACCTCGCATAATACTAATTATCGTCAGTCTTACATAGTGGTTACCAAAAAAATCACATATGCTACAGGTATAAATCCATAAGTTAAAAAGATTACTCCATCAGGTATTGCTGCAACCATGTTGTCACATACTCACAGTTTCCTATTAGGGTAAAATTGAATCTAAAATGCAAATTCTCGGCATACTCAGTGACTCCTTTAATTTTTACCTATGGAATTTATCGCTTAAGAACTAGGCCATTGGTACGTGGTGTAAAAAATTACAAAAATATTGTCTAATAAAAAGGTTTTTATCCCAAATTTGAACCCTAAAAACTAAGAATTTTATTTATATATATTTTAACTATTTTTCCGGTATGAAGGTTACCTAATTAGGCTTAGTTATCTTTGTTGTATAGATTCTGAAAAAAGAAAGAGGAATAAAATTAAAATTGATGACAGGGAAAGACGGGATAAACATAATTAGTCGCGTGATTTAATAGTTTTCATAGTATTATTACTTTTTATTCGATTAAAAATGGATCTGGTGCAATTGCAGCAATCCTTCACTTAACGGTCTTACAATTTATGGAACAGGTGTATCCCTTCTCCAAATCCAATTTTGCTATATATAAGAGTCATTTCTGACTCGAATCCACTCTGAATTTATTTATATTTTCTCAAAAATTTACATTATAAGAAATAAACGCTTTTCCTAGTGATTTATAATTATATTTTGGCGAATTCTATCTTTGAAGTGGCGAGAATTATAAATTTAGGCAATTAATAACTACCTACAGCAATACTTCTTTTAATTTGAACAAAAGTTAATTTTGTGTATTTTATGTTTTTTTAGAAAGTGTACGTACGTCTTATTTACATTATCTACGTGCTTGCAGTAATCCTATTGTTTTCGGCATTTCAGAAATAGATTTCAAATAAAAGTTTGTGGTAGATTGGTTAAACTTGCTTTTGTAATTTGTGCATACTTTTTCTACCTGTGGAACGTTCAAAATTCAATAAAGTAGATCCCTTGCCCCATGCAATAAATTAAAACCCGCCGCCCCCTAACTGTTGGTCAAGCTAAGAAACGAACAATACGATAACAGAACAAATGAAAAGAGACAGCCCGAAATGCTTGTATTGCAACAAAAATGACGACGTAAAACATACTTCCTTTGAATGTAGTAAGTGGACAGCGAGAAGACTCTTGGGGAAAATAGGGGAAAGCACACTACTAGACAACGTAATGGAGCTAGCGCTCAAAAATAGCTCGACATGGAATATACTAGCACAGTTTATATAGAAGGAGTAATAAGAAAGAAAATTAGGAGGATGGTACAAAATATACAGCCTTTACTGGTAGACGAAAGTGGAAAACAGTTCCTGTGTAAAAAAAGGTGTACGTGTACGTTACTGAATGAAATAGTTACTTGTACCTTTTTTTCTTGTTATGAGATTCCAATAATTTTGCATAACTTTAAAAAGAAGTTGAATAAGCTGCTGAAAGATTACGAGAATTTCCGTTACCAATAAAATAATGTAGAAGACTCGGCTGCGCAATAGGAAAAACTTTGTATGTATCTAATAAGTAATTTTCGGGCGTTGAAACTTGAAACTTGCTATATACCTATATTAGGATTTAATAGAAACTACATCAGCCATTGATCGTTCACCTTCACCCAAAATAAATTGGGATAAAACAAAATGCGATACTCTACAATCCTAAAATTCATAATAATAGATACTCCAGATAACACACGCGGTAGCCGTTTGAAATACAATAATAATCCGAGGGAAATATTGTAACGTCTTTCACCTTCTGCTTTTCTGATTAGAAGTTCATGGGGGACACGCGTCACGTGCCCAAGAGCCTTGCGTGAACTTTCGCGTGAAACGCGGTCGTATTCAGTTTCTTTGCGTGTTACCTACTACGAAAACCGCATTCCAATCCCTTTTGCCGCATCCTGTTCCTCTGTTCCCGAGAATTCACACTTGTCTTACCCTTTACTTGATGTAAATTTTTGAAATTCCTGCCTCTTCATTTCGATGCAACGTGATGAATCTGAAGATCCTCCTGCACCTCATGATTCTTTGTTAAACTTGCTGTTTAATTTCCGATAATTCTTGCATAAATTATAGAAGGCGTCGTTAATTTTCTAACGGTCTCACACCCATTCTTTTATTGCTGGGTGTCTGATACCTTCGCAGACAAAATACGGCAAGGTCTGTCAGTCATCAGTGACGGCTGATGATCATTATGCGTCGTGTCTGTATCGATTTGGACCTCTTCTCTTTCATGAGATCCTGATAGAAAAGCGACGCTGTTTGTTAAGGTTAAGTGTGCGCATCGTTTCGCACAATTTTTAATAAAAATAAATTTGTTTCGTAACACAATTAAGATACTAAGGTCCAAAAATATCAGGATATTATTTAAATAAACCGCGTATTTTTCTGTATGTGATTAATTAACTTGATTTACAATGTGCTGAGCTGCGACGTGGGCTACATTTAGTTGACAAAAATTTCAGTCATGAGACCAAACGTGGCACTTGCACTTATGACTGTTTGATAAAGATAATGAAGTCTTAAGGTTTACTTCGGAAAGCAACGAAGACACCACCAAGCTCACTATATGATGTCCTAATAATTGTTCACAACTATTTTCCAATAAATTCACGGTTGAGTGTGCAAAAACTACTTATTTCTTTATACGCAGGTTAAAATACCTCTATATTATTTCCTTAACCTTTCTAAATTTATGTTCTCCTGATTCAAGGAGACAGCCATATTGCAATGCTTTGATCTGTGCTCTCCATAGATGTATGAAACAAGAAACTGGCAGTTTCAAATTTGATCAGATTAAGGCTAATCATTTCACCAAGTTAGGGTTGAGCTTTGAGTAAATCGTGAACACTTGGATTAGTAGAGTTCCCGCGCGCTCAAAAGTGATTTAGAAATCCACTCCGTCAAGCTTTTAAAGGTAAAAAGCAACTAATGATGTTTTTCTGTAGAGTTTGGACTACTAATTAACCCCCTAAATTCGGCCAAAAAAAGGAAAAAATGGAATTTTTCAAAAAGTTCTTATTTTTAATTATCTTTACAACGGTGCGTTTTTTTTGTCGTTAGCTCTAATGGTAATGAAAATATAAGGGTTTTTCTCCACACATTTTACATTGCATATACGACAAGAACGCACACATAATCGTTAGCCATTCGCTTAAACAGTGTTTTGCAAAATGTAACTTTTTAAAATAACGCCATTGCTCTTAGACGAATCAGAATTTTAAAAAAAAGTTTAAATAAAAATTATAGCTGGCAGCTTAACGAATCCAACGAGGGGTTTGATTGCGTTTAGTATTTCGTCGCTGCCCGCTATCCCTCTCTTGTTCTGGGCCCTCAACACTCAACAGGCTTGCGCCCAATATCGCAAAAATTATGTTCCAGAAGTACATACAATCGTATTACTTTTGAAAATCAGCAAGAGAGAAAATCGAAAACAGATTTCAATTTTAGTTAAAACAAAGATAATGTTTGGTTAAAAG